AGGCGCAGCACTCATGACACCTCCTCCAGGAAGCCATCCCCCTTTCTCAGCCTGTACACCTGTCTCCTCACCCCGTCCTCTCTTGGTGGGCACAGACCCACCACAGAGGAACATGAGATTCCTGAAGAAAGTGTGTCTGCCACCTCTTTTCCCCAGTCTCCAGCCCTTTTTCTGACTCACGTAGTTGTTCAAGGCCATCCCTGATGACTAAGCTCAGTCACACTTAGAAACACAAACCAGCCCCTTTCGAGGAGTAGGACGCCCACAGGAGGAGGCAATGCTCGGCCCCAGGCCTACCAGCCCGAAGAAATGCCACCGTTCAGAGGGCAAAGCAGCTGACAAGAGCAGGAGGCATTTCTGGTGGCTTTCTCTGTTAGACAAGGGACAGGCCTTCTCCCAATTTAACCCCTGTGACCTTTGAACTTCCCAGGAGGTCAGCAGCACGTACCCCTTCCCCAGCTGTCTTTCTGTCTCTGGCCCAATGGGAGGGAGGGCCCTGGGCCCGTTCCATTTTGTGCCCGTATTGATCTGTTGGCAGCAATGGGCTGGATAATTAGCCAGGAATTAGGGTTTCTATTACAGCCAGGAGGCTGCTCCAGCTGATTTATCACCTGAATAATTTACTGTGATTGAAAGGAAATTAAAATGAACTCCATTTGACAACTGTGAGCTTTTATGGGCTTTAGTGAAGGCTCAAAAGCCAGATTAATAGCCTGGTGTTGGTTAATAGTCTGCGGAGAGTAAATACGGCAGGCTGTGCTCGATGGCGGCCTTCCTACCGAGGCCGGAGGAGGGACCAGCTCCTGCCAGGAGCACAACGCCCACGACGATGTCAGCTCGAGTTTTACTGAAACAGATTCCACTGTTCGCAACAGGCACGCACGCCACCAGCAGTTGTTTCTTTTTTTTTTCCTCTTTTCTTCCGGTGATTTTTTTTTTTTTGAAACCAGAATTGCTTTTTCGATAACCATTTTGAAAAGGAAGTGTTTCATTGCCCCAGGAGTGTGTATACATTAACCCTTTCTACTCAGTGCCAAGGGTTTACTAAGTTTCCCTGTAAAAAGCGAGAAGCCTGGGCCCATCCACCCAGGACAGATCTTGGCAAGAAACGCAACAAAGTGAGCTTGTGGCAGTGATTGGCAGAACCTCAGCCTGACCCTGAAGAAGAAAGAACGTTCTTCTCAGGGGCTGTTGGGTGGGTGGTTTAAGAGGATTTGACGACCCAAGCCTAGGGCAAGTCTCTGAGGATTCTGATTGGTGGATTCTGGCTGCAAAAGACCAGTTCTGAAAACCAGCCATCAGAAAACTGGCTCCTAGAATTGTCTGGGGACATGGAGGCCCATGTAACCATCTTGCACAAGATGAAGACAGAATCTTGAGGTCAAATGCCCGCTCGGTGGCCTTGACTAGTCCCAGAAGCCACCTGGGCCTGAAAATGTAGTGAACGATCTAGGGAAAAAATGCTCCAGTCTGTAAAATGGGGCTCACAAATCTTGCCCAGCCTGCTTAGCAGGCATTTACATTAAGAGTCCAATGAGAGAACAAATGCGAAAGATCTTTGAAAAGTGTGCAGTATCATGCATAGGCGAGGAAGATCACTATTGTTATTGTTGCTATTACCACCGCCGCTGCTGCTGTTGTCATCAAAATCACAATTATTACTGCCACAGACATGGAAACTGACTTCCAGAGAAAAAGTGACTTGCCCAAACCAGGACTCAAGTCAAACTCCCCCAATTCCAAGGCCAGCAAATGCTCTTTCTTCAACTCCAGGCTGCTCAATGAAACTGAAAGCAAGCCCCCCACATAGGCCCACAAGCCCTTGGAGTCACAGATTTGTTCACAACGGAAGAAGGGCCAGCCTCAGCGGCCAGCGCTCTCTCAATGAAACTGAAAGCAAGCCCCCCACATAGGCCACAAGCCCTTGGAGTCACAGATTTGTTCACAATGGAAGAAGGGCCAGCCTCAGCGGCCAGTGCTCCAGGTCCCCTTCCTGGAGCCACCGAAATGCCGCTTTGGGGCTCACAGGGCAAAGCAAAAGCAAGCATGAAGAGGCTCGAGGAACCTATATCCTTGACACACCTGCCTTCCCAGCCTGCGGCCCCTTGCTCGGACCACCATTTGTCCAGAGTGATTGGGAATTGGGAGCGAGGGTATGTCATTCATAGTCCAGTGCCTGTGCGTTTGCCCGGCAGCCCCGCGGCCTCACCTTCCATCTCTCCTAATTATGGCACATTACAGGGAGGTGAAGCAGATTAACCAGAAAGCTCTGAGTCAGTCATTATGGGACCACAAGGCTCGCCTGCAGGCCCCGCCTCAGCCCACGCAGTCAGAGGAGACAGGCCCACAGCCGTGTCCGCGTCATTCTGAAGGACACAGCAGGACTGCTAGAAAAGAAGCCCTCGCAGAGTGTGCAGTTCAGGTCTCCTCCCTGTCAGGCCCCATCTCTACATGGGCCTATCAACCTGTCCCCCAACATTACCCCCTCCCTTACATCACCCTTGATGCTCCTAGCTCAGTTCAACGTCTCCATTCATCAGGGCTCACAGAACCTTCTCCCTTGCCTTGCAAAGTCTGAATCCACATCACACTGCCCCTGTGAGGCTGTGGGCAGAGCTGATGCCTGATTCGTCCTTCCTCCCCTGGGTACCTGGCACTGTGCCAGGCTCACGGCCAGCATGCAAGAAATATGTTGGATAAATGAGCATATGAGAGTGTCTGAGCAAGTGAGTGGATACATGATTAGACTCCTCCCAATTATGAAGCCCTGTAGTTTCTGCCCCTTCTTTCTGGGCATTCCAAGTGAAATGAACTATGACCGAGATTCTCAGTTTCCGTGAGGATCCTGTGAAACACAGAGGAAGCATAGTCACTAACACTGGATGTCTGCGCTGAGCAAATAAAGGTTTAATAGAAATGCTGGAGGCTTTGTGCCTGGGCCCTCACTCTTCAGCACTCACATGCTGGGTGATTTCACATTAACCCTGTCCCATCTCTGGGCCTCTCAAAAATAAAAGAGTTGAAAGTTTGCCTCCGTAATCCTGCTAGAGCTAAAATTATCTGACCTTGCCAACGGTTAGAAGATAAATTTTTTTCCCATATTCTGAAGAGAAAGGTAGGCCTCATTCAAGAAGGTTTTCCTGATTGAGCCTCTTTCTTTCTCCTCCTGCGTCAGATGAAATGTGGCTCTAGCCGGCTCTCCGAAGGGCTCTGAGCAGTGGGAAAGGCTGTTTGTGATGGAAATAGACCCATTTCCCTAAAGCCCAGCATCTAGACTCTGCGGGATCAGCTCTGTCCAGCCCAGACGACTAAGTCATTCCCAGAGGAGACTTCACTTGACTTGCAGAAGAAAAGACCAAAATCCTGACCGCAGCCTACACAACCAGGGCCATCTCCCCAACATCACCTCCCACCCCTCCTGGCAGCCCACTCCTTGCAGCACGCCGCCGGCCCTCTTTCCATTCTTCACTCCTGCCGTGCTCCCTCTCACCTTACGGCCTTCGCACTTGCTCTTCCCTTTGCCAGCCGCATTCTCCCACCCCCGGGTCCCTTCTCCTGATTCAGCCCAGCGCCGTCAGGGCTCAGCATAAGTGCATTTCCCCTTCAAGCCGGCTCAGTCTCTGCTTTATGCTTTCAGAGAAACTCAGACAGCCCCTCCTCGGCACCTAGCACACCTGTAATCAACAAACCTTTGGGCTGTTCTTATTTACTATGATTCTTCCACACATTTGTAAGGCTCCCTGAGGTCAAGTCCAAGCCTTTCTTGTTCACTAATGTACCCTTAGTAACTAGCTCTGTACCGTGCACATAGTAGGCACTCATCAATGTTTTTTAAGTGAATACATAACTTGCTGTGTGGCCTTAGGTAAGTCTCTTTGCCTCTCTGGGTTTTGTTTCCTCATCTGAAAACAAAGTGAGTAGATAGTCTGTGAGAGCCCTCACAAGAAATGCTGAGAGATAGTTAAGCTGTCAACTGAGGCCCTGCCCACTCCTCACCATTCAATGTCCTCTCTGGCACCTTTCCTCCCCACTGGAGCTTGTGCACACAGTCTACCTGATTTCTGAATGGCTCTTTGGAAAAACTTCAGACGCATCATCCAATTAGTATGTAGAAGAAGCTCAGCAAGGCCAGTCTTTACTACCAGTACTAGCTAGCCAACTGCTGAGAGAGTCATTGCTCAAGGTCTCTCTGACTCGTCCGCCAAATGGGAGCTCTCTGCAGTCAGGAACCACGTCTGAGCCACGCATGCCAGCAAAGAAACCAGCCAGCCCAGGGTCTGGTGCTGACTGGGCATCAGGAACGAGTTTCCTGAATTGAATCTGGACCTTATCCAGTCCCCAAGAGCCTCTCGCCGGGCAGAGCCTTTCTTGTCCCATATCTGCAGCCATAGGCAGTGACTGCTTCTCAGGCCCAGGGCAGAGCAGGGGGCTGCTCAGCAACAGTCATCTTCTCACTGCTTTCCCTCTCTTACAAATGACCCAGCTAGATGTGTGTCCAGTGAGACACTTCTTCGTTTCCAGATTCTTGGATTCAGTCTCTAAAAGCAGACAGGGCGACCTGACGAGACGGCTGACAGTGGGGTACACAATAACATGGCATGTGGCCGTAGGGTGCTTACATATTTCCACCTTCACCCTGACTGACGGGATAATGACCCAAGACCACCTCAAGTGGCCCAAAAGATCATTACATTTCCCTGTACAAAGAGCCCTGGGAAAAGGCCACCATTCAGCAATGGCAGAGCAGCCAGACAAATCATGACTCCCTTGGACAGCCAAAGAGACAGAAGCACCAGGGCAAGAAGTCACCGGAGTCCCAAACAAGTCCTCCTGACCTCATGGGATGCTACAACTGGCCAAGTTTGGTTGAGAACAGAGAGAAACCCGCCTCTGAGGAGAACCTGGCACTCTCACCCGCACCCCGCCAGATGCCTTCAGGGAAGCAACCCAGGCCTCTGTTTGAGTGGCAGGTGTGGCGGGCAGTGAGTCGTGGGGATTACCTGCTCGGGCTTGATGGGCTCCGTCGTGGTGAAGATGTCCGAGTAGTGCTGCCTCTCAAACACACGGTCCAGTACCTCCAGCTGCTGCTGCGTGAACAGGTCTCCCCGCACCTGCTTCCGGAGAAAATCTCTGCCCGGCAGTGAGTGACCGTTCGGCACTGGAGACTCCTGAATACCTTTGATGAGCATGAGAGAGAAAGGGTGAGTGCAGCTCACACAAGTTGCTGAAGAGAGAAATGTCAGACCCTGAGACCGGGAAGGGAGCTGAGAGACCCATGAACCCTGCTCCCTCCCTGACAAGAGAGGAAACAGACGAGGGGGTCTGGGCCAAAGTCACCTCCTGCTGAGTGCACAGCCAGCCTCCCAGAGCCACGTGCCAGGCACTGTGCGAAGCCCTCTTTAAATGCATCATCTCATCTAACCCTCACAATGACCCCAATGAAGATGATATTATTTTCTTGCTTTGCAGATGAGAAAATTGAGGTCTAGAGATTGAGCGATTTGCCTGCAGGCTGGAGCTCAGGTTGATTCAGAGGCTTAATCAGCAGATGCCACTACCTCACTGCATTGATGATCCCCTTAGAGGTGCAGTTTTGTCCCAGAGTTCATGCCTTTACCTGGGACATTTGCCACCACATCATGTGACTAGTCAATAAAACACTGTTTGGAAGGCTGTAAGGAAACAGATTTTCTCATGCTGTTCTGGCAGGAGCGTATTGGTCACCCACCTGTGCTAGACAATTTGACAAAATCTATCAAGATCATGAATGCACATTCCCTTTGATACAGCAATTGCACCTCTGGGAATTTATTTTATAGCTAGACTTACACATATGGGAAGTGATATGTGTACAGGTTCTGGCAACAAAAGACTGGAAACAACCCAAGAGTGTATACTGTACGGGGTTGTTAAATAAGTCCTGGCATGTCCGTGCCATGGAATACCGTGTGTCTGCAAAGAGGAAAGAGGACGCCCTCTGAACTGACATGGAAGACCTTCAAAATACATTTGTTATATGAAAAATAAATAAGCACGGTACAGCAAGCATGCATAATCATAACTTTCTGTGTAAAAATGAAGAAAAGAGGACTTTATATGCATTTTATATTAAATGAATTTTATGTAATGCATTCTACATATTTATATCTAATATACATCTTATATACTAATATATTACATTACTAGAATGTGATTATCTAATATAATTTTATAGTACATACATACATAACATATATTATATATAATGCCTATACATGTTAGATGCATTTTATATAAAATTTTATGTAAATGCATATATATATTTCCTTAGGAACTCTGGAAGGAAACATAAGACACATTTAGAGTGTTTACTCATTCAAGGAGGTAGGAATGAACTGGATGAAAGTGAAGGGGAGACTTTTTATAGCATGCTTGTTTTATTCTGTTGCAGAACTTTAAATGTATTGCCATTGAAAAATGTAAATTACTAAGGAAGTATAGAGTTAAATTCTCTATGTGTTCTGTACAGCTCTTCACACTGTAACAGTCTCTGGTGATGATGCTTACATGTCAATGAAAGTATTATGAATTATCAATAAAAAAGTAAATGAGATGAAATATCTTTTGTAAGCCTTGAACTTAAACCATTTAAAATGAGAGAAAGCAAGAAAGGCAAATGTTTCCAGTGAGGAAAGGGTCTCCAGGGCCACCATTTCCCAGGGCCCTCTAAGACCACGTTGCTCACGCAGGGCTGTCTGGAGATACTGCTGGAACCCAGGCCCAGAGGCACAGCCTCTGCCTTTGCCACTGGGGAGTGCAGGGGGAACCAGGACACATCAGATCTCTTGCTGACAGGTGCCCTTCTTACACGGGCCGTGCCCAACCTCCCCCTCCCCGCAGTGTGCTGACACTGCTGACCTAGACTTCATTTGTTCTGTCAAAACTCCACCCACATAAGGCATAATAAGGCCTAACCAAGGAGCTTGAAGAAGTGAGATATTGTGTCACTGAGATGCAACTGTCCTATCTAGAGACAACTGCAATGCGAGGCCTGACGTTCGAACAAAGACATCAGCTTTGGGTGTTCAGGTGAGTGTTGGCTTTTCAGAGGCTCTGTGGAGTCTGACAGCTCAGAGCACCCCAGCATCTTCTATGAGAAGAGACTTCAGAAGTGGCTCATGAGCCCCCTGAGAAAAGAAATCCCAGATCAATTCTGACCCAAGAGGATACCATAGGCTGGGTCCCTGCCCCTGCCCACAGGACATCATCCTCATGAACATCATGAGGCTCTTCTTCCATCATGGATCATGGTCCATCCCCTTGGGAACCGTTCCTATTGTAAACCAAGACAACAGGATGTGGGAGCCCATGGCCTAGTCTGTGCCTGCTCAGCATTATCTCACACTGATTGGCATCCACCAAATGACTATTATCAAAGGTGCTCTACACTTGTGTGCATATGTACACACACATACACACACATGGGGGAAAGAGGCTCAGCTTGCTTCTCCTCAGCTATTGCTCTGGCCAGACATCCTGGCTGTGCAGCCTGCCGGCCAGGCCCAATACTCTTAATGAAGGCTCCTTTCTGTCAGCCAGCTCCTGACGACTCCTACCAAGCAAGGCCTTGCCTGCCCCTAATTGGGCAGTGCCTACCTCTTCCTTCTCACTCAGGCTCCCTCATCAGACTGGTCCCAATCCTGCCCCTTCAGGAAGCCTGTCCCGGCCAGCAAGGCCATCCTCCTACAGATGTCCTCAGGCTCGTCCTCTCCCACCGTATTCACAGGCTGGGCTCTTTGCACAACTCAGAGAGGAAGCTCAGAGAGGTTGGCTTGGCTAAGGACTCCCAGGGACAAAGTCACCGTCTGGTCACTGAGTAGGGCCCAGCACAGAGTAAAGGCTCAGAGCACTTGGCCGGCTCAAGTCCATGCACTGGGGGTCCCCCCATGGACACCACGCATACTCCAAGCAGATGCAGCTTCGCTGGGATCTGCACTGAGTCTTCCAGGAAGAAGACTTGCTGCATCCTGCTCTGGCTTTCTGAAAGTCAGCCACGGCACCCATGAGCTGAGCCTGGGAGAGTGTCCAAGCTGTCTTGGTCACTCAGATACTCCACGTGGAAAACTGTAGGCTGGAAAGAGTCACCTCTCCAGGCATTCACCCTGACCGTGATGGCTCTTGCTGCTCTCGCTCCAGCCAGCACTTCCACTCATTGTCTTTACTGAGAAGGTGGGTGAAGTCTACTTTGTCACTTTGCACAGACACCTAAGGTCTGTCATGTCCTTAAGAAGGCTTCAGATACTCCTAAACATATAATCATTTATTCACTCATTCAACAAATAGTAGGTGTTGACTCTGTACCAGGCAATACTAAAAACAAAAACAGAAGATACAGTAATGACCAAGACAGCCTTCTCTTTCCAATCTAGAAAAGGCAGCTCACTTCAGTCAAGTACTTGTGAAAACAGACACATGACTACAAACTGATTACTGCTAAGTAGAAAAGGTACATAGAAATATATATATATATATGACTTGTATAAAGGGGAAGAATCCAAGAAGTCTTCCAAGGAGTGGTCATATTTAAACTGAGAATGAAGGACAAGGGAACTGCAGGGAAAAGGGAGTGGGAGGTGGAGGGGGCATGCCAGGCGGGGAAGACCGCCTGTACGAAGGCTTGGAGATGAGAAGCGATGAAAGGAACAGAGGGAGTGAGAGGAGGAGACTCCACGGGGCTCTGGAGAGGCAGGCAGGGGTCAGGCCAGGCAGCCACGGAGGCCTAGGGAGGCCCCGGAAAGGATCTGAGCTTTGCTGGGGGAGGAGTAGGGAGTCACAGGAGGGGGCTGGGGGAAACCATTGCCCTCGCATTGCTCAGTCCTGGGGCCTGAATTGCTAGTTTCTTTAAATCAAGCCCTGCTTTCTAAGCCCTGCTCCCAGGTCTCATCTTTTGGAAAGGCTAGGGGCTGGCAACATAAAATTTGCATTTGTAGGCATTTGAAGGTGATGTGTGGAGTCAGCCTGTCAGCCACAGGTGATCCACTGAGTCCATAGGAAATATAAACCACTCCTCATTGACATACACGCTATTGCCAGGACAGACAAAGCCTGCAAGGACACATGTCACCTCTTCCAGGATGCCTTCCGTCTTGTCCCAGTTGCTTCTCCCTTTAACCATTTTCTCCCTGGACCCTTCACTCTCACACTGTACTCTTAGCTACCTTGAGGGAGGAGAGACCACAATTAATTCATCTTTGTCACCTCCACAGAAAATATTTCTGGAATAAATGAACACATTACTAATACCTGTGACAATCACCTTCACACCACAGGTCTAATCTGCAAATGTCAGAATCCCTCCATCTGATCTCATTCATTCATTCTCTTGTCCCTCAAGCGATCGTAGTGAACAGGCACTATGCTAACGCTGGGCATACAGTCACGGGCAAAAACTAGCCCAGCCCTGGTCCCCATGGAGTTATGTCCAGCAGAAGAGAAAAACATTAATTGAAAAGTAACCAGACCAGTAAATGTGCACGTGTCAATCAAGATAAATACTCCGAAAAAAGGCACATGGTTCTCAGGCCAGGGACACAACCGAACTGCCTCTGGATGCCACACACAGTGGGTGCACAAACAGATTACATGCTCAGGGACAGCTACAAAAATGAATACCAGAAAATCATCTCCAGCACGAAGGCAGGTCTGAACCTCCAGGCCTCCAATGGAAGTTTCCGTAGTGTTTCTCGTCTGTGCCACAAAGATGCTGTCTGACTTCACTGGGGAATGTAGTCTTGAAAACAAGCTACAGAAATGTTTGGACCCATTTTATTCCAGGGAGAAAAATGTGAACTTGCAATGTGAATGGTATGCTTAAATATATGGACAGACATGGGCAAAAGTACAAAGGTATACAGGGGGCATGGTATCTTTAAATCTTTTTTTTCTACTCCAAATCAAATAATATGTAATAGACCCAGTGCTGAGCTTAGTCAACCATGGCTGTTGGAATTAACATTCTGGAAGCTAGCTTCAGGGGAGCAAGGGGCAGGAAGCCCCGTCTCAGGGAGCAAAGAAATGCTGGCTTTAAATTTCAGGTTAAACCAATGTTATTCACAACCTGGCTTTGAAGCTAAAAGCTTTACACAATCGGGTCTGGTCACGCAAAGGGGGAGGAAGCAAAATAGCCTCAGATTCCCA